GATCAGTCTGGAAGTTGACAGCCGAGAAGTCTACTTTGTTCTCCCCAAAATCAACTACAGCTTTACATTTATCGAAGGGAGTTACAATAAACTCACTTTTCAGCTTCAGGTTCAATATTAAGTAATCTGCAATTCTCCTCCAGTCAGTATTCTGCATCCCTGCCTCTATTATGAATTTGTTATCCCACTTTTCCTTCTTTGAATAATCCATAACCCTGCATTGACCATTGGCTTTTGCTAAGATCACAGTGCCCTGCTCCATGTTTCCAGTCATAGTAGCTCTCTCATACACCCCATCTTCCCTTCCTGAACTCTCCTTTGTTGCTGTTACTCCACGGAGCAAAAATTCCTGAAGCACCTTACTCACGTCCCTCCACCCTTGATTTTGTTTTCCTGCTGGGAAACAAACCAGCTGTTTCTTTCCTCCACCAAAAAACTCAGCCAGAGCTATGTAGCAACCCTTCGCATTCTTTTTTCTTTCAACTATATATTTCTTACCTTCATCAGCTGCAATCTCTTGGCTGTTATTTTGCTTACCTTTCGAACTAACCCCTTCCACAAACTTCTGCAGCCATTCTACTACTTTTATCCCAGTCAACAGAATCATAGCCCTCCTCGTTTCCCTTATCTTCAGACTCAGCTTTTCTCTACCTTTTTCTTCCTCAAACAGGAAATCCTTAGCTTCAACCTTCAGATTTCTTCTCCACCGTCCTGCCTCCACGAACCTTCTCTCCACACATTTTTTAAGGCTTTCATTTACTAATATCCTAGTTTACAGACAGTAGATCCTGCTGCAGTCATGATATTACATCTTTCTTTGCTTGAGGCCTATTAGCAGGATGTGACATTGTTCATCTACCTTCTTCAACCTCCCGATAAAGAACGAGAGCAACCCTGTTCTTCACCTCTCTCTCACCCCACCAGCTAAGGGGTTCACTAAGCTGAATTTTGATGGAAGCAGTAAGGGTAACCCAGGTCCTTTGGGCATTGGAGGTGTTTTCAGTAATGAAGAAGGAAAAGTTGTTGAATTGTTTTCAGGGCCAATAGGTACAGGTGATTCACTCAAAGCAGAGATTATGGCTCTATTTGAAGGAGTGCAAAGGGCAAAGGAGCTAAATGTTAAGAAAGCTAATTGTGGAAGGTGACTCTAAGCTGGTGATTTTTTTTGATAGGAAATGGTAACTTTCATTAAATAGAAAATCAGTAATTACAAACTGTCACCTACAGAAGGACAAGGTGACCCCTGAAACAAAAAGCAAGTTACAACACAGCCCAAAACAAAGTCTCTCTATTCACCCCTTGCTTTGCTAGTAAGTCAGCTAAAGCATTTGCTGACCTCCTAGTCCAATTAACAACTACACCCAACTCCCTTGTAAGGCTCAATAATTCTCTTACAGCTTGTCTTAGGGACCAAGTTCCCAGACTATTTGTTTGCACCTACCCTAGTACTAACTTTGAGTCTCCCTCCACTTCTAGCTGTTGCATACCCAATTGTTTAGCCAATCTGAGCCCCTGAAGGAGGGCCAACACTTCTGCTCTAAGTGAGTCCCCCACACCTATTGGACCGGAGTATATAGCTAAGATTCTTCCTCTCTCATCTCTAAATACACCCCCAATTCCAGATGGTCCAGGGTTCCCCACAGAGCTGCTGTCAAAGTTTAATTTCACAGTACACTGTAAAGGAGGGGACCAAGATGCTTGTAAGGTAGAACAAGATACTGAAGACCCTGCTTTTATACTTCATCCTCTAGTCAAGTCATCTGTAGAGTAGTTCTTGAACAAATCTAGAGTTTTCAGCTAATGTATAGCCTTGATGGTGATCCCTTCAATAAGTTCAAGAGCTGTTTTTTCTTTTTCTTGGAAGATCCAAGCTGCCTTTGTTGTTCTCCACATCACCCTTCCCTTCTTCTTTGGTTGTTGGAAGAAGCTAGGGTCAAGGAGATCCTGTACACTTGAGGGAGATTTCCACCTGCAATCAAAGAGAGAGGAGAACCAATCCCATAAAAGAGTAACAAAGGGACAAGAAATTAATAGATGATTTACCGTCTCACCATTCCTCAAGCAAAGGCTACAAACATGTGGAGACAAGCACCAACTTGGTCTTTTTCTTTGAAGCACTTCTAAGGTATTAATTTTTTGGAGAACCACTTTCCAACAAAAAGCCCTTACCTTTGGAGGCACCGGAGCACTCCAGATTTATTTAACAGGAAAAGGTATAATCAGGTCTGTAGGGGGCAACAAAGCATTGAAGGAGGAGGAACAAGAAAAACAGCCTGAAGAGGTTTCAATCCAAATTCTACTATCAGGACAATAAGGGTCCAAGAAGACTGAACTGAGAAGATAAAACAGATCATCTGCCAATCCCACTTCTGAGTCCCCTAATCCTCTCCTTAGCCCCAAATAACAAGAATCCTCAGAGACATGAAAAGAAGAAATAACTTAAAGTTTTTTCAAAGAAAGAGAATAGATGATCGGGAGACTATCCTTAAGGGTAAAGTAACTTTATTAGAAAATGATCAAGAGATTACAACAGCAGCCCCAAAAGAGGAGCCGAGTATATAAGATCAAAGCTCTAGATCACATTACAATTCTACCAGACTTCTAGTCCTCAGGTGAGCCCCAAGAACTGAGGTCTGGAGACCTTTTGCAGCCGCAACCCAAGAGACCAGCTTGCCAAAAGCATAAGAAATTAGACAGTCCAAATCTTTAATACTTCTGGAAAATACTTCTATTCCTTTCTGTCCAGATAGTACTAACCACTTTTTAGTTTTTTCCAGCTTGGACAAACCTTGGAGCTCCCAACTCCATAACTGGTCCAACACAGAATTTGGCATGATCCAAGATAAGCCCAAGGAAGATAAAAAATTGCCCCCAAATATCAGAGGAAACAGTGCAATGGATGAACAGGTGATTGCTATCCTCTTCTACTTGGCCACACATCACACATACAGCAGGTCTTGAATCTGTAAGCCTCTTCTTATCAGGCTCCTTTTGGTTAGGCACCTATCCAGCGTTGCTGCCCAGCCCAAGGCATTTCCTTCTGCTAAAATCCTTGCAAAGGACTTGACAGAAAAAAACCCATCTGCACTGCTTTTTCCAGTTCAAAGTGTCATCTGCCAACAGATCTAGGGACTGCCTAGACAGCAACTCCAACAACTCTGCCACTTGATTCCAATCTTGAAAGGGTCTTCTAAAGGAAGGGCACCGGGAGATGATATTATCCCTCACTTCATAACAATCAACCACTAGTCCTTTTTGATTCTCTGCAATTGATACAGCTGGGGGAATAAACCTCTGCAATTTGACACAACTACTGCTGCACAAGTTGTCCTTCCAGAAACTCAGTCTAAGACCGTTATCCAACTTTGGGGATAAACTGCTAAGAAGAGTAAGAGATTCCATGATTTTCTTCCAAAGAGAACACCCCAAATAAGGTAAATGGGATATAGTTGCCTGTTAGTGTAGGGGTATTTCTGTCTTTATACTTATGTTGAGGTTGCTGATCTGTTATATTATATTAGAACTAGTGTCCCTCACTTAAATAAGGGGACATGTGTCTTTTCCATTCTATTAATAATATAAAAACATGTCTGGCCGAATGGGGGTGTGACTTTTACCCTAATTCGAACCAGACTTTTCTTCTCTCTTTTTCTCCTCTTTTCTCTCTCTCTTTCTTCCCTCTTTCTTCTTCTTTCTTCTTGACTGTTATCAGACTAACAGAACTCAAAGGCAGGCCGAATTATAACATTACCCAATCACCTCTGTCAGTATTGTATTTAGCAGCAATTAACTTCCTCCACCAGTTGTCTTTTTCTTTTTCAAACCTCTAGTTCCACTTTCTTAGAAGAGAAACATTGAATAACTTCAATTTCCTGACTCCCAAGCCCCTTTTCTCCTTTGGAGCACAAACTTGGTCCCAATTGACCAGATGGATCTTTTTTTTCCTCCTCCCACCCTCTCCAAAGAAAGCCTCTCTGCAACTTTTCTATTCTTTGAGCCACCTTAGCTGGAATTGGAAACAAGGAGAGGAAGTAAGAGGGAAGGTTGGATAGGGAACTCTTTAGGAGAGTGATTCTACCTCCCAGGGAAAGGTATTTGGCTTTCCAAGAAGTGAGTTTCCTTTCCACACGTTCCACTACAGGATCCCACACCAAGGAGGAAGTACGCTTAGCTCCTATAGGAAGACCTAAATAAATAGCAGGCAGAAAACCAATCTGACAAGCTAACACCTCTGAAGTTCTTCTAAGTTCTCCACCTTTCCACTGGGAACATTCTTCTTTTTGACCAATTAACTTTCAAACCCGACACTACTTCAAACCAGCTAAGAACCCTAACAGCACACCCAACTGATCCACATCTGCATCAATGAAGCAAAAGTTGTCATCTGCAAATTGTAGGAGCTGGTGTTATATAAACTGGTTACAAGTTACAACAAGAGGAAAATGCATTCAGGTGTTATATTAACAAAAAAAAGAGGTTTAAATGGCTGACCCAGAATATGGAAGTGAGGCTTCAGTGGGTGGGGAGAAGTGTTAATACATTTTCTGATGTACTTGCTAAACAAGGGTAACATGTTTTGGACTCTGTTGCAAGTTGAGTTTTTTGGTAGGGAGGGCTAAGAGAGCTTATCCCTCCTCTGTTTCTCTTGTATTTTCTTAATCTTTTATTGAATTGGTTCAGTTATGATAAAAAAGTGAAGACCAGGACTTTTCTTTTGTGGGTGTGTAAAGGGCTTTTTAAGGAAATCTTATGATACTTTTTTTTTGACAAAAGATTTCTTTTTGTAAAATTTGGCAAGTAGGTTGGAAAGGTTGCATAATCCCCATTGTACAGATCCTTGGTGTACATGAGGTGTCTTTTTTGATATATTAATTAAATAATTATACTTTGCCTCTTTCAAAAAAACCCCGTCTAAACATGTACCTGTTTCCTATTTCACATTTAACATTGTTACTATGATTGGACTGAAACTTACCTTCTTGGAGACTATTGGAATTCAGGGGAAGCCATGGCCAGTTTCTGAGTGGAAATTTTGTGTTGCCTTTTCTTTGTTTCGTGGTGCATCAATTTATGCAGGTGTCTATCACAGATGGATTATGGTAAGCATTCTATTTGGTCCTTTTGTTTTGGAAATGAAGTGTTTGGGCACACGTGCATATTTTGAATGGAATATGGATAAATAAGGCCTAAATTGTAATGTATATATTTATTGCACTGAAATGTAGGGTAATGCTTCAGGGGGTGAGCGTGCCAAAAACACAGGGATATTAGCTAATGTTATGATAGATTCTGCATGGGCATTTATCAATAGGAAATCTGTGCTTCCTGAGCAGCCTCCATCTGGTAATTTGATCAGTAATTTCTTTAGTTGTATTGTCAATTATGTTATATTGCTCATTGTCAGTATTAAGATGGTTACAGCTTTGTAGAGTTTGAGGGGTACATTAAGTTAAGTTAGGTGCATAATGTTTCATGAATTTATATAAGAGTCAGAATTTAGCAAACTGGGAACTTGAACCGCCTCTATAATTGCATCATGTCTTTTCCACTTAGCCACAGTGATAAGAAAGGAAAAAAAATCAAATTGTTCCTGAACTTTTTGCTTCACCAGTTGAAAAATTAATCAAATCTAACCATCCATTATATGTACACATATTCCTTTTTAGAAACACCAATCCTGAATTTGGTGTTTCGTATGTGTGTATCTACCATCTACATGCATATTTCAGTTAACACTAATTAATTGCTTAAAGTAAAGCCTATAATGAGAATACTTATCCTTGAAATTCATAACTAATCTTTTCCTAAATCTGCTTTCTTAAACTCTTTTTTTCTCTCTCTTCCATGCCTGAAGTCTGAACTATCCTTTCACTTGTTTCAGAACCAAAAAGGCTGAATGAACAAGAAGAAAAGGGGCCTGAGGAACCAAAAAAGAAGCCAAAGATAAACCATATAATTTTTTCTTATTTTGGAAAAAGAGCTGTTCTTTTCATTTGATACCTTACTGTGAAAATTGCAACAATCTGTCCAAATCAAGTTTGAAAATGAATACAAATTTTGAAGCATCACATGTAATTTTTGCAAGACCTTACAGCTTATTAATCTATCAAAACTTTGGAACAGATTGGCCATTCATCTCTTTTCACTGTCCAGGCATTTCAATTGCTGTTAATTGCTGGTTCCATAATACTAACTTTGAGGTTTTTGTAGAATAACTTATGGATGCTTTCTTCATAATTTTGTTTGGTTAACCTTGTTAAAGTAGTAATAGGCCATGTTTTCTGTTCCTTTGTAATGTAAGCATACCAAATTCTTTTTTGGCGTGAAATGAAACTTGGATGGGTGCAGTGAAAAGAGAAAAGATAAATAATAAAGGTTTTTATATTGCTAATCATAAATCAACTTGTGTTTTAGAATTTGATGCACTATGGAGCAGTGAAACGAAGGCTTGAGTTCTGTTCATTATTTTCCTTAATAACATAGCAATTGATGTCAAGTATGTCTTATGACACCAATTAAATGTCTTATGTTGCAAGTGTTGAAATTCTGGATTGAAAAGCAATCTTTTCCTGAATGATTGTTGGAAAGATGTTCCAGATATTGGCTAGACCCATATATTTGGTTGCTAATGGTTATACTGAGTAGCTTTAGGTCCATATCATATTTTTTTTATCAGCAATAAGCAATTTCATTAAAAAAGTAGGAAATAGTATGGATTATGAGTAGCCTCAGCTACCACACTAGGACTTAAAATTAGCCAGCTATCAGCTTTTGACTTTTCAGCCTTATAACTGAACCCAAAAACAATGATTCCTGTTAACCCCTTGTTTAGCTAGCTGGTCTCCAAAACTATTTGTCGCTCTTGGGGTCCACTGAATTAGTAACTGCATGTCCTTGGATATGTTTTTAATCTTCTTGGTTTCATTTCTGAAGAACCAAGGAGTCTTTTCATTCTGCTGTAGCCAGCTTATAACCACTTTGGAGTTGCCTTCTACAACTAGCTTTCTCATTCCCAAAGTCCCAATTCCATAGCTTTTTGTATCTCAAGAATCACTGCCTTTAGTTCAGCTGTAATGGAATCTCCCATTCCAATAGGGCCCGAATACAACCCCACTAGACCCCTTGTCATTTCTTATCACCCCTCCAATTCCAGGCATTCCTGGATTACCAAAGTTGCTTCCATCGAAGTTTAATTTGAGAAAACCAGATTCGGGGGGGGGGGGGTCCCAGTTCCTTAAGGCCTTCTTTACTGATGAAGAGGATGCTACTGTTCTCCAATTTCTGATTATGTCATCCACAGTAAAGTCTGAGATACAATATTAGTTCATAACAAGAATATCGAGTTCGGCCTGCCTGTTAGACTGATAACAGTCAAGGAAAAGAGAGAAGAGAGAAAGAGAGAAGGAGAAGAGTAGAAGAGAAGACAAGGAGGAAAAGGTCTGGTTCGAATGAGAGAAAAGTCAACTCTCACATTCGGCCAGATTTGTTTTATATTACTAAAATATTGTGGAAAAGTCACATGTGCCCCTACTTAAGTTAGGGACATTAGATCTAACATAAACTTATACATCAGCACCTAAGCATAAGCACAAAGACAGAAATACCCCTACATACTCGACACTAACAAAGAATATGGGTGCAAACAATAACTTCCACTTCTACTAAGCCTCAAAGAAAACTTGCCAAAATTAACCTGAGGTTGGATGGTTATTCTGACAGTCTGAACTTTACAAGGCTCTGATCTTAAATTTAGGTGGTGTTTGTTAAATCTGAAGTCTGTATGTATATATTTGAAAAGTGTCTGAAAGAAATGATAGAAAATTTGCCTTTTTGCTTTTGTAGACATCTGAATGTGGTGGAGTTGTATGGTAATTTGAATGCTGCGACATCTGAAAAATGTGCATTTTACAAATGTTGTTGGATTTAGTTTTATTTCTGCTGTTAGAGTGCTGCCAACATGTTCTTTTCTTTGTTTAAGTTTTTTATTATTAGGGTGTGCCGCCGGGGGCATATTTGTAATTCCCTTTTCTTTTATTTTTACAGCATGTTATTATAAATTAAAAGATGGGCACCACCAACCCAACCTATTGACTCCCACTTTTATGGGCCCGCGAATAGGATCTCGTCACGGGTCGGTCCACGGGGAAAACCTTCTGTTTTCCCTTGTTCCTCCCTTTTCTTGAGGAACCTATCTTGGCGCCTTAATGGTGATTTGTTCAAGAGATCACCAACTCTCCTTTGCTCTTTTCTTGACTGAAATTTTCGATGATTTTATTCAATATTCTAAGCTCCTTAAATAGGAG